GTTCAGGATATTTGAGACGAGGTACCTAAAAGGCTCTTGCATTTCCTAAGGTTCCTTTAGGTCTCTGGTGTGTGAGAGAGTCCAGTGCTCCTGGTACTGCATGAAGTGTCAGCTACATATGTAAAAGATGTGCAGAAAGCTTTCTACCCATCCCCTCGGGGCTCAGCTGGTTCCCATCGACCTGAAGATAGCCTCTGTCAGAACCCGTCAGCCTGTTATCCACAGGTGGACATCTCCAGATAGGTCTGGTCTTCCCGTTCAAACGCTGTTCCCCCATACAAACGGGCTGGACACAGGAGGAATGCCCAGGGAAGGAGGAGGTCCTAGCTAAAATTCTTGTTTGCTTGTCTCAAGCTGCTGCTGAGGGATAGAGCCCGCTGTGCCAGTGTTTGAGGTCTGAGTGAGACAGAATCCCGTTATCTCGCTGGCTGTGTTCTGTGCCTCTCCAGACCGGTGTCTCTGTGAGATCTGGAGCGGGATATTTGAATAGGACTGCAGAGGACACATCCACATTGTTAGTAGATGGAACTTGGGATTTCGCCAAGGGGCTCACACTGCACATTTTCTATCTTGTGTAGGCTTTGGTGACAGGCTGTTGAGCGAAGTGAAGAAACTAGCTCCGAAGGACGTCAAAATAAGGGTAGGAGCAATCTCTTTTGTGTTTATCACTTACTATGTGTGTTGTTCTGTGGCCTTTAAAGAACCATGCTGAGAGTGCAGCTGCCGTTTGCTTCAAACCAGAAATGACTTTCCTGAGACAGCCCAACAGTATTTGCTGTTGTGATGAAAGCCTGTTTGGTTTCATCACTGAGAAGGTGGCTCCTCTGACAACGTGACCCCTGTCCAGGATCCTGGGCCACAGTGGCTGTTCTGGGGGAGCTGCTGGGTGTCCTTCTGGTGGCAGAGATCATACCGGTGTTTGTCAGCTGTTAGCTGTAGTGAAATGGGGACAGTGTGCCAGGAGGAGCAGACTGGAGCTTGGGAAGGCACTGACTGATTCTCTCTTTCCCCCAGATATCAGCTCCTCAGGAGAGATTGTATTCCACGTGGATTGGGTATGTACTGCACAGTGACACGTCTTGCCGTGGGATGAGGGCTGGGGGGGCGCAGCCTGTCGGCACGCACACTGTTGTCCCTTCTGATGCTGTGTGTCAGGAGGGTTTCATCGTTCAGCTGCGCGATGCTCAGCGTGCTACGGGAGCAGCAATCAGCAGGTCGTTTGGGAGGGGGCAGCTGGTGCCAGGCTCTGTAGTGCCAGCACGTTTGAAGAGGAGAGGAAGTGATAGTCCAGAGAGCGTTTCAGTTGTAGATAACTGGGAGCTCAGCACCTTTCTGGCGTGGGGAAGTGTCACGCAACAGAAACGGCTCATCTCTGCAGAGACGGGATGAGAGTGCCCCCAACACTTTCCTTTAACCCATAACATGCCTGTCTCTCCCCAGTGGCTCTATCCTGGCCTCATTGGACACCTTTAAGAAAATGTGGATTTCAAAAAAGGAATATGAAGAAGACGGAGCTCGTGCCATCCACCGAAAAACCTTCTAGTGCTGGGACCTGTCCTCAGTCTCCTCCGAAGACTCACTTCAGTTCTAAACTCGCTTTTCTGAGTCCGAGTGTCTGAGAGCTGCCTGTGTGTGTGTGTGTGCGCCAGCATGCCCTGATGTCACTGAGCAAAGACAACAGCAGCAGGAGGGTTGTATCAGTACTACTAACTTCTTATTTTTTTATTTTATTTTTGTTGGGTTTTTTTAAATGGAAAGGAGAAAATACCAGTCTGAATTTCTCCAGAATGGCCCATTCCTTTTTCATTTCAGTCCCTTAATTTCTGTATCGCAATCACATTTGTCACTGTAAAACAATAAGCAAGCAAAAACAAAGGGAACAGCTTATAGAAACTGCCTAGCAAGCCAGAAGGGAGCCAACCACTGCAGACTGCTCACGCAGGCTTTAGTCAGCCCAACTGCAATCCCTGGATTGTCTGGAAACACATAGCTGAGGCCCTATAGCTACTTTCTTCTTCAGCAGCGTCTTCACCATCAGTAGGTTTTTGAAGTTGTTTTTAATACATTTTTTATTAAGAGAAAGCACATTCTCAACAGTTAAGCCCATTTGCCCCCACTGTTTTTGGTGCGTGAGTGTGTGTACGCGCGTGTAACTTCTTAGCCTGATGTGTGGGTCTGCACCACAGCTGGAGAAGTTGGTGATAGGACTTAGTTTGTATTGCATGGAGTAGAACAAAGCAAATCTAATCCGCTATCATTGTACTAGACGGTTATTCTCTCGTACCTTGTTTTAAATACCTTTTCTCCTCTGGAAGCAAGTGCCCCAGAGCGGGGGCGAAGGCACTTGTGTGTTCTCCCTCAACCTGCCAAGGTTCACAGTGCTGACTTCTCACGTTCTTTCTCTGTAAGAGTCGAGGCTGTTTCCCTCCTTCCTGCCGTGTCAGGGCACAGGGAGCATGTATTTGCAGCCAGGCATAACTCTTGTGTACTTTATCCATTCTGGGGCAAAATAATAATTGGAAAGGTGCATTGTAATGTAAGAATTGTTTTATTTATTGAAATGTCTGAGGATATCTCAAATACTGACCACAGCACCTGGGAATCATGCTTTGGGTCGTCTTTGAACACCTGTTACCCAGCAGTCCGTTGTTCGATGTTAACACTGTTTACAGCACACACGCTTAGCGGAACAGCCAGCCAGCCCTGCGGCACCACCCAGTAGCTGCTCTTTAGGGAGTCTTGCTGTTCTCTATGAATACACTAAATGAGAGGACAATAAACTGTACCGGGACGTTGGTGGGAGCAGCAGGTCTGTGAGGGGGAAGCTGTCGCGCTGGCTGTGTTCTGCTGTTCTGCCTATGCCTTTCTGCTCACCTGGTGGCTGCTTTGCTTCTACCGCTTTTCAGCGATGGGCAGGCCTACAGACCCGCTTGCGTTGGGTTGTGTGACGGTTTCCCCTTTAGGTTTTTCTTACGCGTTATTTGGTGCTCTTTTCTTTCTCCAGTGTGGATTTTCTGCAGTACCTGACAGTAGCAGTGGAGCTGGAGTTGCTCGGTGGCGGTTCCTCCCTGTTCCCCTCCTTTCTGTTCATTGCCACCCATCACCTTGGGGTCACCCTCGAGCGCAGAGGTGGGGTAAGAGCTGGAGGGCTGCCGCAGAGGTGCGGCAAAAGCTGGTGCAGTGCCCCGGCTGAGATGAATGTAAGCAGCAGCATGCAGTGTGCTGCCCCTGCGGGAACCACGTTCTCGGGGCTCACCGCTGGGCTCGGAGAGGCTGTAGGCAGGCAGGTGCGGTGGTCTCTTCCCAGCTGAGGCCAGGTTGCTTGTTCACCTACCCCCATCAGAGCAGACTCTGTTTTTTAAAGCAAGAACCTGCCGGGTAGAAAAGAGCCGTCAATGCTCAGCCTTCTGCTGGAAAATCAGTTGCGTTCTTGCTGGTTTGCTGCAGTGTGCAGAGGGGAAGCGGCAAACCCCTCCGGGTTCAGTTACCACGTGCTCCGGGCAGTGCCTGTGATCTCTTCCTCCCCCTCCCAGCCCCTCTGCTGGCCTTGCAGAAGCAGCAGTGCTCCATTTTGTAACCTGCAGCGACCGGACAGAAAGGTGCCATCTCCAATCTAGCATTCGTTTGATCTGCCTGACTGTTCCCTCGCACACTGTCCAAACCATGTTGCCTGGTGGTGCCCAGCACTTAAATAAAGTTATTCATATACAACCCTCAAGCCTCCTGGCCTCATCTTCCCACATTTGCAATTTTAAGGAGGCAGCTTGTGTTCTCCTCTTGCCTGTGCAGAATTGTTGCTGGCCAATCTCCGCAAGGAGACACCGCCTCTGGTCCAGGATTGCCTTCCTGATCTGGCTTTTGAGCTGAGGGAGGGGAGTCCTGGGCCACAGCTGTGGTCTGCACTGGTGGTGTCCAAAGCCGCTCTTCTCCTCAGCGACCATTATATATTGTGTTTCTTACTGCAGACAGGTCAAAGGCAGCTGAGGGGGAGAGAAGCTGTGCACAAGAGGGCTGGTGCAGGCAGCGAGGGCAGCCCTTGGCTGAGCAAGGGTGATGGGAGCGATGCCACTGTTGTGAGAAGAGCTGGCGCCAGCCCAGGCGCTTGCCGAGAACTAACATGGCAAGCTTTGCTCCCAGGGCAGGCCGGGGGGCCTGGGAAGGTGGCACAGTGCCCAGGCCAGCAACTGTCCCCAGAAGCAGCTGGTGAAGGAACAGGACAGGACAGTCCAGTCCCCAGGGCCTTCCAAAGCAGCAGGGGTAAGTGACTCGCCTCCCCCCAAAAGGCAGGTGATACACCAGCCTGCTAATCCTCCCCCTCCCCTGCAGAAACAGGCCCAGACCCCAGCACAGAGTGTTGCTGGGGAGGAACAGTCCCATTTTCTCCCATACAACCACAGTTGTGCCCCTGCGGCACTGCACGAACCCAGCCAGGTTAGATCCACCTGCTAGAAAAATCACCGAGCAGTACAGAAAAGATCATCTTTAATTTATGAAATGAAGAATCACTCTCAAACTTTGTTAGAAGTCACACAAATAACTTATGATGGAACCATCAAGAGCTACAGGAGCCTCGCGGCTGGAACGTCTTGGTCCAAGACAGAAGGCAGCCGTGTCCTGAGGCAAGACGGCAGGTTTGTGGGCTGAGACCCCAGAGGGAACCTGGCAGTAAAAGAACAGCATGCCCCTAAGCACGCACTGGCTTTCAAATGCTGCCCGCACACCCCCTCCCTCCTGCGGGCATGCGCAGGGCAGAGCTCTGCTCTGGCACATCCCTTCTGCCTGCCCAAAACATGTTGCAGGGATTGAGGAGAGACGCTCCCTCACCTCAGGGACCCCTGGCAACTACCTGCCCCATCTGGTCCCAGCCAGAATGAGGGAGACCAAACCACCTGCTCTCCTCCTTGGGTCCATGGTTTGGCAGCCTGATGAGATGATCAAACTCAGGGGCGCCATTTCAAGCGGAGAGGAGCTCTCCCCACAGAGGTAAAATCTCAACCCTGTGACTGCCCAGCATTGTGTCAGACAGGCTCCGAAGAGGAATCGAAGGCACAAAAGCAAGACCTGGTGTCTCCTCCAGGCTGTGCTCTCCCCTGCAAAAGGGGAAGGTGCCAGGCTACCTCACTGGGTCACCTGGGACAGCCCTGGGCACGGAGGCACTTCCATCGGCTGGGTTAGGGGTTGGTTCCCTGACCTCGGCCCCACAGCCCCCGCCAGCATGGGAGGGGGCTCACAGCACAGCTGTGTGACAGCACTGACCAGAAGGGGCCATGGAGAGGAGAGGAGGGATAAACACAGGCAATAGGATGCCAGATGGTATGTTCCAGCTCAAGACTCTCAGCCCAGTTCGAGCACAGCGCCTTTCCCAGCCCAGCAACAACTCTCTCTGCAAGGCCACGAAGGATGGAGCCTCAGCGTAAAACAAGCACAGCCAGCAGCCCCTGGCTGTGCAGGATATCATCCTGGGAACAAGAAATGCCTAAGAGCGGATTTGGTCCAAGAAGTGCAGCACTGTATGTGGGAGGGGTTGTACCAGCTACTGGGAAAGGCCTTCAGGGTCCTCTCGTCCCTGCTCCTGCTGTCCTGCAATCACCCCCTCGGCCACTTGGTCCCTCAGGAGCCTCCCACTCCACTCCCCAAAGCTGCAGGGCTCTAGCAAGGAAGGACTCCCTGTGCAGTCTCTTCCTGCTCAGTCAGAGAGGCTGCAGTTCCCCAGAGCCATGCCCAGGGCAGGGGACTGCACCAGGGATGTGTCTGTCTCTAGCACACGCTGCAAGCCAGCACCTCCCTGCTGGGATGAGCAGCCCTCCGCTCCCTGGGACAGGTTAGGATAAAATGTTCCTGCTCCTGTGGCCAAGCGATCTGTCCCAGGCCCCTCACACGCTGAACTTCTCTGCCTTCCCCAGCGACCACCTCCTGGAACGAGTAAACATTGGCATTACAGCATTTCACAGTTGAACAGTAAACATCAGGGTTTCTCAGCCCACAGTCCCTGCGCTTAGCCTGCAGTCCTGCACCAGCCTGGAACCAGCAACACCCTGGGGGCTCAGGCACCCCTAGATCGTTTTGACCTCTGGTGCTCGGCCTTGCGTCAGGCTTTGGCGCTGAGCCTTCACCATCTGCAGACGCTTCCCATGCAGGCTGAACTGAGACCAGCTGAGGAGCTGCAGCAGTGCACACGTGATGGGTACGAAGACGAGGAGGTAAAAGCAGCCCTGGCGAAGAGTGGGCTCCAAGGCTGCAGCAGACTCCAGCTTCGGCTGGGCACTCACCACATTGCTCAAGGGGTTGCGCTGGAAGATGTCGTAGCCTGGTATGAGAGAAGAGTTTGTGAGACTGGGCACAGCAGGGATGGACCCTTGTCCATTTTCTCTGAGTGACTGGCCTTGGAGATGCAGAGGCCAGGCACAGCTTAGCAACTGGAAGAGCCCTCTGCACCCACCCGGGGCACAGGACATGGTGGAGGACACTGAACTCACAGGTCTGTCCCCTCCTGCCCCGCTGCTTTCCCCAGCGGCATCCTTACCTGTGTATGCACAGAGCAGCCAGGTGCCGATCAGAGGGGCGAAGGTCTGGCCCGGCTTGGTGACCAGAGCCACCATCCCAAAAAGCAGCGCTGAGGCCGCCTGCTTCCTACGGTTCAGGACTAGATCCTCATCCACCAAGTCGGTGACCACCAGGTTGAGCAACTTACAGGTCCCTTCTGTGAACACCCGGTTGCTGCAGAACAACAGGCAAAGCACTGAATAGGGGCTCCAAGAAACGATGGGAGTAGGTGAGGGATCAGAGAAAACGGAGAGAGGAATGAGAAAGGTTCCCCAAGGCTTAAAATAAGAATTTCAGAAGGCTACAGGAGGGGAACACTGCTAGCAATAAGCCTTGTGAACCCTGCAGCGATGCCTTGGATCAGTCCTGACCTGCCACACAGACGGGCCTGGGGACAGGACACTGGGCCAGTGGCTAACAGGCAGCTGCAGCACACGCTGAGGGCTACGGCTGCAGAGGAGAGGAGCTCAGCTCAGCAGCTGGGAGAGGCTGCTGCAGGCTGCCCCCAGCCCTGCCAGGTCTCTGTCCTCCTGAACATCGCTGCCTCCCTCACTCTGCTGCAGGCACAGCCAGCGGATTCTGCAGTGACCCGTCCCAAGCTCAGGTGCGGTCAAAGCTGGGAGCCACATGGCTCCTGTGTCACCCTGGCTACTGCTCCCCACCTCCCACTCCTCTCCGTCAAACAGACAAGTCATTTCCCCTCCCAGGTGGCAGAGAGCAGGGGAAGCAAGTGCTGCCTGCCTACCTGGCAATGAAGATGCAGAGCAGGTACACCTGATCAGGTCCTGCCAGGAGCATGACAACGCTGAGAGCCAGCTTCAGGAAGAAGAGTCCTCGCACCACAGCGTAAACCCCACAGCGGCGGCAGAGGGACAGGAAGTAGAGGTTGTTGAGATGGGGGGCAATGTAGGAAACACCTGAGCAGAGACAGAGGCACAAATAGCTTGAGGGAGTTTCAGTATCCACCATGCCCCTAGGACTGATACTGAGAGAGGGGACAAGGCTGGCTATCGCCAGCAGGGCTGTAGGACACAAAGTACAGAATAGCCTCCATGCACATACAGAAGGCTGCAGCAGATTTACTCAGTGCCTTTGTGGCACAGCACACACTCTCCCTACAGAGGGAAGCCTTCTTCCATCAACCTCATGGGCAGGAAGGAAGAAAAGACTTGCCCAGTGTCACGCAGGGGTTGGGACCCAGCCCTGAAGCAGAAATGAGAGGGACAGGACAGCGTGACCAGACCCGGCCCA